AGCCAGAAAGACCACATCCTCCTGAGATCATCTTAGAGGGTACTACTGGGTGGAGGATGACTTCAGTGGACTCATGTCAATCATGTACAGTCTCTTGGTCCTCTCCAATGGTTTATCTGAGCTGAACACTCTGAAACGTGAAGACATGAAGCAATTGAAAAAGAAGTCCATTTATGGCATGGATGGACCAAAAAGTAAGATGGAAAAGGCACCAGTCTCCCAGGCTCTACTGTCTATTCTGGGCCCCCGAGTTAAAAAAAAAAAAAAGAAAGACTCACACTGACCTGATGTAAGAGGTTGATGAGGACCAGAGAAGCACTGGATCCCACATCCTCATTCTGACAAGGTTGGACAAGCCTAACACCAGATGAGTCTAGCCACCCAAGCACCTGACCTGGGTCTGGGCCTTTTCTATGCCCCTTCCTCAAACTCCAACTATTATTTTACTTCTTGGGATGCTCAGTAGACCAAAACATTCATATGTTGGGTCACATGATCCACAGAACATTGTTTTGAGCTCACGGTACATGTGGAGCCATTACTTGAACCTTGAACAATGGAAAGGCCTTCACTTCTGTCTTTTCCCAAGGGGGAAAAGATGTCTACAGAAAAGATCTCCATGCACAGAATGCACGAAGTGAAACATCTTCACTTTGCTCATCTTAACTGCCAAGGTAAGATAATCACAACAATAATTAGATTTTTTAAAATATCCTCTACTCAGAGAAGGAAATCCCCAAGATGTAAAATCAGCTGTGGCAGCTATTGAAAAGGGACAAAAAGCAAGCTACCTCCCAGGAGTCTTTGAGACAAAAGGAAAGTCATCTGAAAGGGTGCTTCACCAGCAGGAGGCTTCTTGGCAATAATGGTGATGATAACTTGTGGAATGTATATACCTGAGACTTGGGAAAGTAGCAGGTAGCAAATCTAAAAAGAAACGTCTTCCTCAACCCTCACAAAAAGAAGATATTACCATTTGATGATTCTCATTGTCTAAATGCTCCTTAGGGGAGACAAGGGAATTGAATGTCTAAAACTTGAAAAAAGGGTTAGAAATCTAGAAAAAGCTTGGACAGTGATGAGAGTTGGAATAAATGGGGAAGGGCCCTTTGTCCCCCCTAGTGGATCAGAGCTCACTGCTATCATGAGAAAGAAAGAGAAGATCATCTTCCTTGTAACTTTACTTATGGGTTTCCGGCTTCTTGTCTTAAACTTTGTCTGAAATCCTTCTCTGTAGCATTTCCAGTATTCCAGTACAGGCACCTTTAAAGATGCCACTGATTTTACCATAAGCTGAGAGTATTACAGTCATGTCCAGGTTGTATGGGTTTAGTTATATCTGCCTCACTTTCTGCTCAGGCCTCTGGTTTGGGCTTTAAATTGATGGACACTGGGACTCATACACATTGTGAGAGTATAAATCAGCACAGGTTTTTAGACGGTACCTTGCCAGTAAGTATTTTTGAAAAAAACCTCTACGTGAGTGCATTTGCTTGGACCCAGCAAGTCCTGCTCTAGGAATTCATCCTAGGGAAGCAATTAGACACGTGCCAAAAGATTACACAGCTAGGATGTTTGGCTCAGCAGTGTTTATAATCATGAAAACTTGGAAACAGATTCCATGTCCAGCAATAGGAAGTTGGTCAAATAGTGTGACACAGTCAAAATGTGAACCCCTAAAAATAATGATGTAGAGAAGTATTTACTTAAACTTAGACATTGATTCGCAATGTATTTTAAATGGAAAAAGAAGACCACAAATATTATTCAAAACCATACTGTTTTTGTAAAATCTACATATATCAATCAAAAAGATAAACGCTAAGGTATGTATTCGTGGAATGGTGAGTTATTAATGTTTTGAAGGAAATCAAAATATTTCTTTCTAAAATGCTGAAGACTGTTGAGCCAAAAAAGGTTGAATTGCAGGGCACGCTTTGCTCCTCCTCCCTGCCTTCCCCACCCACAAGTAGGCCCCTTCCCTACATTTGCTTATCAGCTCAGAAGCAGATCTCAGAGACAGCAGCTGCCAGAGGATCTGTGAGCTGACTTTACTCTTACCGTAAATCTACCTTCCCACATTTTCGTGCCTTTTGGAAGCCTGAAGATACTCTCCTCTTTGTCTTGTCATTGAATAGAATTTATGGCTCTTTGTTAAAACACTATTTAAGCAAGGCCTCTAAAGCCACTGCCTTGAGAGAGAAAAAGAGTTTTGAACTGAGGCCTCTTCTGTGTGATGAGTATAGTACATGTTAATAAACTTCTGCTTGTTTTTCTTTTGTTAGTCTGACTTTTGTTTTCAGGAGAGTATCTCAACTTAGAACCAAAAGAAATAAAGAAAAGAAATTATTTTTTCTCCCCTACAGTTTATAGTTTCTGTTTCCTGCTTTATCTGTATTTTCTAATTTTTTATAGTGAACAAGTATTGCTTTTGTAGTAAAGAAGTCATCTTAATTAGACTGTCCTTAAAAAATTAAAAATACATTTCTAAAGCAAAATGTATCCCTTCCTCCCTCTCATTGCCATTTTCCCTTGTAGAAGCAAGGAAACTTGGATAACTTCTGTGACACTATGCATGTGATAAGGACAGGAGGCAGAGAAATTCTAGGCAGAAAAGGGCAGGTCCCCAACAAAACCCCACCCTCAAGCCTGAAACCACAGCCCAAAGTGAGAACTGACATCCCTGTTTTCCTGCTCGAATGTTGCCTTTTCCTAAACCCATGGCCCACCACTCCCCACTGCCCCCGTCATCCTGTGCCTATAAAAACCTCAGACTCAGCTGGAAGAGAGGAGAAGCAGCTGGACACCTGGGACTATGGCTGGACACTGGGGACTATGGCTGGACATTAGAGAGAAGCTGCTTGACTGCAGCGGGACAGCTTGATGGTGTAACAGTGGAGAAGAATCTGGCTGAAGATGGCTGGAGTTCAGGAGAAGATTTCCTTCCTGCCCCACCCCCTTTTCAGCTCCCCTTCCAGCTGAGAGCCACTTTTATCAGCAATAAAATCCCCCACATTTATCATCCTTCAATTCGTTTGTGCAACCTCATTTTTCCCGGACATTGGAAGAGCTCAGAAGCCAAGTGTGCAAATACAAAAGGGCCAACTGAGTTGTTAACACTTAAGCTGTCCGTGGATGGCAGAGCTAAAGGAGCACTGTAACATGCCCTCTGGGGATTTAGGGGTCATGAACACCCCACTAGATGTTGCTGCTGGGCCCGCACAGAGTTTGGTCCTGCCAGTGCCCAAAAACACTCTCCCAAGCTCCTGCACCTGCTCATCTGCATGCTCCCTCCCACGAGGGGGGGAACACAGCAGGTCTGAGTGAGTGGAGCTCACCCCCACCGGTGCGGAAGTGGCCAGCTGGTTCCAGTGCTCGTGCACTCCAGTTCCCACCTTGTACACTCATCCACTCCCTCCCACGAGGAGTTGAATGCTGCAGGCTAAGTACACAAGGTACCCCTGTCACGAGTCTTGCAAAGGGGTCAGGGAAATATCCTGCATCACCTGTACACATAAGTGAAAAAATTTTTTTTATTTTTCAAAACCATATTAAACTAAACCTTAAATCAGAGATTCAGGAAGGGCTAGTTATTGTGGAAGGAAATGTATCCTGGGGTCCTTTTCAACTGCCTCTGGCAAGCAGGGCTGGTACCAGGCTGAAGTGAGCAAGGCACTTGACTTAGGCACAAAATGTAAGAGGGTGCCAAATACTCAGTAATCAAGACAAAGAATATGTTAATACCATATTTTAAGAGTCAAAATCAATGCAAGTACTTCATGAAGAACAAAATCAAGACAGGACCAGATTACTGTAATTTATTTTCCCTTTCACCTCAGGCTTCAATGTGGCTCCATATGGCACTATCACTGTCAGTGGCAAGAAATCAAGTGATAAGAAGAGAGAATATTGGAGGTGGGGCAGGGGGAGAAAGGGATCTGACCTACACTGACTCTTCACTCTGTGTCAGGACTGTGGTTGACACTTTCTAAACATTATTGAAAGAAGGTGGAACCCATCTATCCCATTCATGATGGTTCCCTCTGGATGGAGGAAGCTCTCCAGAGTAACACTCTGACCTTCTTTCCTCCATCCCTGACCCCTCCACAAGGAAATGGAGTCAGTTACCTGACTGGTGGATTTGGGAGAGGAACTGTGCATATACAGCCCTGCCCCTTCCTCCCTCTTCCTAGTGGGATGTTTCTGCCTATAGAAATATTCAGGAGCCACCTTGAGTCAACAATGATCTCACTTTCTTGGGGAATTGGCTCCCTTTGTCTAGAGGGAAGGCCCCTTGCAGCCATGTTCATACTGTATACTTGACCTTCTGGCCATAGCACATTAGACCAGGGTGGACACCTGACCAATCTGGGCCAACTAGAGTGTCTCTTTATGGACTCTGGAATTCTGATCTAAAGAGAGCTAATTTGTTGTGTGTGGAATTAGGCCAAAGAGAGATGCAGTTCAGTCTGTGGCTGGCTAAGCTTTTAACAATGAATCTAGGAGCTGGGAGATAGCCACCTTTCACTCACTATGGGGCGGGAAGTGGTCACTGATAAGATGGTCTGCAACAAAGCAGACATGAAGATGGAGACAAGAAACAGTGACAGGGTCCCTGTGATTCCCAGGTCCTGATTCCAGACCCTTCAGAAGCCGTGTTCTGGCCATTGGCCTCCGTGAGATGCTCCTGTGTACCTAAAATAACAGTCCTTTTCCAAGCATAAGCTGACTCAAATTGGTGTCTGTTATTTGTACCTGAAGATTCCTGACCACTACAATCATCTGTGTTAATATCATTGTTATTTTTCTCGCCCACAGTCATTTCATGCAAGATCCCCCAGACTCTAATTAGTCTGCTCGATTGCTCTCCTGTGCTCTTTGATTACACTCCAGAGTTTTTCATCCTTTGGATGACTTAATTCCTCCCCCTACTGCTGACTCTTGTGGGTGCAACTGGCTGGGACCGGCATCACGAACAGTAAAATAATTTTTCAAGACAATTGTGGGTAAAGAAAGGCAGATTTATTTGAGAAAGTACAAAGATAACGTTGTAAGAAAGCAGTGGGCAGCACAGCAGAGAAGGGACTGTCTGCCAAGAGGCCGTAGCTGGAGGGAAATTTTATAGGGTCATGCTGGAGGGTCTACATGCAGACAGTCATGCTGCTGGGGCTACATACTGAGCAAAGTATTTGGGAACAGGATGTGGGGCTAGCAGGTTGTTTGTGATTAACAGTCTCTCAGAACAATTGTTCTTCCCTACGTGGGGCTCCTTCCTTGTTGTTGCTTACTTATCAGGACTCCACATTGATGCCACCCTATTATTCTTTTCCCTTATAAATACCACTCCCTGTGAATAAGTAGAATTGTTTTGCATCATTTACTTTCAAGATGTATTAGTCAGTGTAAGCAACACCAGCTGCTCTAAAAACCAACCCAAAATCTCAGTGGCTTAACACAATAAAAGTTTGTTTCTCACTCACACAAAGTCCAGGGTTCCTGTTCAGGCACCTGTCCTGGTAAATTCTTGTCCAAATGGTGACTCAGAGATCTGGGATTCTTCCATTGTGTGACAACTCCGTCTTCTAGGTCCCCACAGCCCTTCACTTGGCTTCTTCTACATGGCTGGGGATCAGGAAAGAGCACAGAGGATCACACAAGATGTTTTGTAACTAGACAAGTCTAGAAGTGGTGCACATCATTTGTAGTCAAAACCCATTTGCCAGAGTTCAGCCAAGAAGTTCACCTAGATGCAAGAGGAGTTGTGAAATGTAGTTTAATTGCACATCTCAGAAGGCAAGAAGAGTAGGTTCTCTACCACAGGAAAAGGAATAATGTCTAGCTCTAGAGTAAAGTAACTACTAGTTCTACGACCCTCATAAAGTCATAACCTCTCATTTTTCCTGCCCTCTAATGTTAGGAGTTATACATCAATCATTTAAAGCATATTCTTTGGAACCCGAGGTTTCAAAACAGATGTCCCAGAGGCAGTGGTATGCTGGACCCAGCTGATACTAGCTCCTAAAAGCCAGTTGCTCAATTTTTGAAAATTTTGCTCTCTTGTTCTTAATTGAAGTCATTATAAAAAATTAAATTACAGGCATATAAACTTATAATTAGATAAATTATATTAAAAACAAAGGTAATAAATATTCAGAATTTACCACTCAATTAATTTACTACATCAAATTCTTAATATCCTTGAGGTTGTTTACAGCAATTGTAGGTTTGGTGAAATAACTATATAATGGTGCATATAATTCTGAGCAGAGTCCCAACTCTACCTTCAGTCTTGCCACATAGTAGCTTAAAGCAGTGGAAATATTCACACCACGGAAATGTGAAAATGCTACAAATCAGGACTCCCAACCCCAGAGTCAGTTGTTAAACATTTACTAGCAAACCACAGCCCAAGGCCAGAGAGGGTGTGATGGGTGCGGGGGCAGTTGGGCGGGGAGAGTGAAGCCCTAAAAAGAGACAACAGAACTGTAAATGCCCCAAGGTCATGCCCCCCCACCACCCACTTCAGTCACAACAGATGTGGTTTTGGTAGTTTTATATCCTGGGCTTCCATGTGAGCTTTTGTTTAATAAGGGACTTCTCCTGCTTTAAAAGAAAAATATTTTCAAACTCTTGCATTACAAGATTTATAAGGCCCCTTCTCACCTACTCATTTTTTCCTTCACACATTTCATTTAACATTTACTGATGCTTACATTTTATGGTATAGATAGGGTAACAGCTTGTTTGAAGTCAATTATGATATTAGTGTTCTACCCTCTTCCCAAGAAAAGGGAAAGAAAGTAGAATTACCATGGATTGAGTTCTATAGTTTAGATGCTATCATTCTCATCATCATTCTCATCTTTCATGACTAGCATTTAGATACTAGTCATTCTCATCACACCCACAGAAAACGAAAACGAGGACTGAGCAAGTTCAGAGACTCGGCCAAGGTACACACAGGGAGCAAGCTGCACATCTTCCCCGTGCCTCCTCCTACACTCCTCACCAGACTTCGGACATTACTTCAGCAAATGTTTATTGAGCATTTGCCATGTGCCTGACAGTGTTCTAGTTGCTCAATGTACATGGGTGAATTCCTAAAGAGGAACAAATCCAAATCAAATCGAGGTAGGATAGGATAGGGTCTGGAAGGCAGGAAACCTAAGGATTTCCTAGAACTAAATCAAATGGAAATACTTCAGCTATGACAGGAAATATCCTCTTCATTTACATAGGGCATACACCAAGTAACCAGTGGAAACCTATAGAGGGTATTTAAACCCCCAAAAAGTCTGTAACAGGGCTCTTGAGTCCCTATGCTCAGGCCCACTCCCGCCCTGAGGAGCATACTTTCATTTTCAATAAATCTCTGCTTTTGTTGCTTCATTCTTTCCTTACTTTGTGTGTTTTGCCCAATTCTTCGTTCAAGACGCCAGGAACCTGGACACCCTCCATTGGTAATAAAATGTTATCATAGATTTGTTAGGATTAGACCAAGGAAAGCATCCTCTTTTTAGTTCTGGCTTAGCCTCAGTCAACCAAAGAGCTGTGTCTCAAGCTAATTTGATCCTCTCTTTCATTCCTTTGGAACCATACCCCCACTGATTTCCACAATGAGTGCAGAAGAAAGCAGGACAGAAGAGGATACACCAGAATGAGGCATGAACTTGTGAAAAAGTCATCATGAATAATAAAGTATGCACAGCATTTTGCTAACTCTCTGTAAAAATCGATAGTCTCCAAGTCTTCCCAGCCTGCTGAATTTTCCTAACTCCTTCCAGGCTGCAGATGTGGGCAAACTGCCATACTGTAAACCTTCTCTCTCCTCTGGGTCTCATTTTTTCTCTGACCAGAACCTAGTAAGGCCTTATCCCAACTGAGGAAGGCTAGCTGGTGACTATTGCTTGGGATTTGCTAAATCAGATGTTTTTTTAAAAAAATTACATTGAGTTCCTTTGGTCTGTGATAACATAAGAAAGCACAAATCAAAAGCTTCTATTCCCTTGTTCTAAGTAGCTGGAGCTGGGTAGCAGTTGTCAGTGTCTGCTGGGTGTGCAGAGCTGTGCAAGCCCCTGCAGAGAGAGAGAGAGAGAGAGAAAAGATCCAAATGTCATGTGAGGACTGGGTGAGGAACCCAGACTACTAGCTCCCTCTCCAGTGCTCTTTCCCAGATTGCTCATTGTTTCCAATTGCGGTTGCAACAGTTGCAGGGCTCCTGTCTGTCACACTCCTCCCAGTAGGGAAAGGCCCTGAGTGTTCTGCTGTGCATCCCCTCCGAGCCTCCAGCCAACTCCAGACGCTCCCCTAATCTTTGCTGTTTTCACCCACTTTCTTCCTTACCACCACTCACTCTGATTTGAGGACTCCTGAAAGTCAAGACAGGATACACAGGGTGTGACTCTGCCCTCCAGGTATTCCAAGTTACTTTGGTGACCGTTGTTACATCTTTAGGAGTATGAAGTTTAGTTATGAATTTACCCACACATACCTGCTCACTTTATCCCCTTGTCTTCTCCCGGGCTCTTGAGACTTAACTGAAGCTCTCTGTTCCTAGGACAGGTGACTTGGCAGAAACACACACCCTGTGAACACTTTTGAGAAAGGCAATGGACAGTAAGAGGATATTAGTCAGTGTTCTCCAGAGAAACAGACCAATGGGATATAGATAGAGAGAGAGAGAGATTTATTTTAAGGAATTAACTCACACAATTCTGGTGGCTGTAAAGTCCAAAGTTGTAGAGCTGGTTAGCAGCCTGAAGACATAGATAAAAGCTGATGTTGCAGCCTGAGCCTGAATTCCTCCAGGCAGCAGCAGTTTGGAACCTCAGGAAGGGTTTCTTTGTTGCAATCTTGAGACCAAATTGCTTCCTCTTCCAGAAGCTTCAGTCTTTGCTCTTAAGGCCTGTCTGTCAGCTGATGAGATGACACCCACCCACATTGTGGAAGATAATCTGCTTTATTCAAAGTCTGCTGATTTAAATGTTATTCACATCTGAAAACTTCCCTCATAGCAATATCTAGACTGGTGTTTGACTACACAACTGAGCCTAGTCAAGTTGACACATAAAATTGACCATTACAAAAGTGTTCTCACTTCACAGGCCCTCTGCCCTCTGGCCCTTATAGTGGAGTAAAATGTATTTCTCCACTCTAGAATTCGGAAGAAGGGATTCAGGAACAACACCCTTAATTATCATGAAATATAAAGGAGCTTTGCCATGTAATGCAAAACAGGAGGAGGAAAATTTTCGCAAGAAATAAAGATGAAATTAAGTTGCTAAGGAGAATATAATTTCCCAAGTGAAGGTTGTGGAAGGAAGTTAATCCCTATTGTAGGGAGACGTGTTTAACTTAGAAGACATTAGCAGGGAAAAACAAGCCATTACTCAAAATGGACCTTCTTCTCCCAGCACCTCCACCACAACCACATTACTTCCATTCATGGGCCCAGAATTCACCCCTTCTTCCCCATCTGCCTGTGGAACCAGTAGCTACTGAGGCCAGGGTCCATCCTTCCCATACAGAGCCAGTAGAAAGCAGGCCAAAGGGAAAAGTTACTAACCTGCAATGTACACTGTGTGAACCCACTCAGAATCCCAGACTTGGCATCAAGATTATTTTAAGCTGAAAATATTTGAGATTCAACAGATATAGAAAGAAGACTTCCCAGAACTCCCCTTATCTGACTCAACAGAGATACTTCTGAGAAATGAGAACTGCCATAAATTCCCTCTTTGGGGCAAGTCTATTCCCAGGAGAGAAACCAAGAATAAATCTCCCATGAATCTCCTCTCCGGGGGAGTTGTATGGCCGTAAAGAAGACAGAAAGACCACTCACACCTGCATAAACAAACATTATCTTAAACTTTACCTCCTATTTGTTCTCCTAAAAACCCATTTGTCTTTCCTAAAGAAACCCATTTGTCCTTCCCATAGAAGCCTTTGCTCTCCCTACCCTTTCTCCTAAATTAGGTATATAAGCTCCAAATTCTAACCATCCCTTTGAGTTACACATCACTGAGTACTCATCACTGGGTGTCCATGTGTACACATTTTGTGCGTATAAATAAGCTCTTTCTTTTCTCTTGCTAATCTGTCCTCTGTCAGTTTAATTTGCCCATCCCCAGGTACAGGACATAAGAGGGTACAGAAAAAAGCTTTTCCTCCCCTACAATACCAAGACTGAAACCTACCCAAAAAAAAAAAAAAAAAAAGTGCTAAATGAACATGGACTTTGCTCTTTCTTTAGGAAGAGGTAATGTCTGGGGAGAAAAATAAGTGGAAGCAGTACATCAGGGGAAGAAAGGATTAAAAGAAAATAGTGAGGAAAGGAGTAACATTGTGGTCAAGGCTGGAAATCCACCGAAGGCCCCGCAGCATCGGTGTGGAAGATTCCAGAGAGCTTGGCAGCAAGGCTTTGCTCTAAGCGTGGAAATGAGGGAGGTAGACAATTAACCAGGGTAGTAGTACCTGATTCCTGAGTAAAAATCTTCTTAAACCATCTTACTGATCCAGTGGATGTACCCTTTAGGAAAAATAGGTGAGGAAATACTTGCAACAGGCAGGAGAGAGAGGGTGCCCTCCTTCCCAGCAGAATGGCAGCTCCACTGGTCAGAGAAGCAGCAGCCTGTACCAAAGAGCTCAGCTGAAGAAATAGTAAAGCTTATTGCCCGACCTTTTCCTCCACAGAGGTAGGGGCCAGACACAGATATTGAAGGACAGAGACAAATGGAGACCATCATATGGGTTACAATCTAACTAGCCAATGGCAGTGACCAAGAGAATTTTGTATCAGTCGGATTCCAACAGAAAACACATAGCACACTCAAATTAGGACTACTTGAGGAGGCTTTAATGAAAGACTGTTTACAGAAATGTAGGCAGGGCATGGGAGGAAAGGGAAAATACATTAATCCAGAGGAATAAAGGAAAGGGCAGTGACTAGAACCCAAAAGAAATAAGCTTGCAGAGAGGGTTTCCTTGAGAGGGGCTATGGTCAAGGAAGGCCACCAGCCCAAGGCAAGTCTGCAGGAAAGAGGCCAGGGGAATAAATGCCCTGACCCTACATGCCCCTTTTCCTCCAGTTGACCACCTGCACTCCTCCTTGGCTATACTTGATAGAAATCAAGAGTGCAAGAAACCATTGCTGTGATCCATCAAGTCAGCCCCAGGAAAGGGAGTAGAGCTGAGAAGGCTGGAGAGGGAATCTGGAGGAGCAAACAGAAAGTACCTGACTGGGTCACCAACATCCAGGAGAGGGTCCCTGTGTGTCAAGGATCCTGAGAGGGACAACTAATGCATAACAACAGATAATGGGTCCACACTCCTTTCTGCCTCCTCCTCATTGCAAAACCCACTACACACATGTAAATGCACCACACACACATGCACACTACACAGATATATATACATACACACACACACACATATACATGCACACTACATGCACACACATTGCACATGTGCACAATGCATACATACATGCATCTACACACACAAGCATGCATATGTGAACACATGCACATATACACACATGCACGCTCACACACACATACCCACACTTAATCATAGTCTGCACACGTATCACTGCACACTGCTCAGGCTCCTCCAGATCAGTCAGAAATTATAGGAGATAAAACCAACAGAATTTAAACAAAGACAAGAAAGACCTGGAATGATGGGCAGACTTGTCTAATTATTGCTATTTTTAGAATCCATACTGCAAGTGGTAGAAAAGAATGGGGGTGGAGGGTGCTGACCAAAAAGATTGCTTCATTATTGGAAACAGAAGATAAGTAGGCTGAAGAGGGTGATTGGAAAGTTGAAAACAGGGAGGCAGTCCTTCCCCTCTCCCCTCCACCTCCACCTCCCCATGTCTCCCTCTCCCATTCCAGGAGCTGAGCACTAGGAGAAAGAAGGGCACATGAGACCAGATGATGGAAGCTGACCTGGCTTTCCACTCTGGCTACAGACTTTCTGGATGTGTGACATTGAATATGTTCCTCAGGGCCACCTCTAGCCTATAAAAGGTGTCTTTGTGCAAATAGAAGACACCTCTTTGCACAGATAAATAAGAGAATATTCTGGTTGGATGTAGCACCTCATAGTTCCTGATTTGGCAAATGCTGCATGGCTGAATTTCCACTCTCCCAACAGTGCATTTGTGCAGCATCCCAGCTACCCAATCACATGCAGCAAGCAGATGTCACTTCACATCTGTAGACCCCTGCTCGTCCTCTCTCCATAAGTGAAGATAATATCTGCCAAAAAGGGAGATCCAACACAGGAGACAAAATGCAAGGCGAGAACCCATAATTTAAAAAAAAAAAGAAGTAATTCAAGGTCTTAGGGTGCAGGCCATGCAGGACAAAGACTGGGAAGAGCATGGGTTCTCTGCCACATGTGAGGGGGCAGTGAAGACCAATTTTGATTGATATCTTAGAGTAGGAAGTTGGAGGATTTAGGGATACCCAATGACTGCATTCTAGGTTATGTCATCAATATCATTTATTTCTTGACACAGAAGCTGACCAGCCTCTCAGAATTTCACAATCATTGCAGAGTGCAGGCTAGGGGCTCTGGGGCCCCAGCCCTGCCAATTTGTAATTGATGTGGGTTAACTCTATTCCCCAGTTGCCTCATCTGTAGAATCAGGTAAGTGAGATACTTTTTTCACAGAGGAATTACAAAAATAAAACAGAATAATATCTGTGAAAATGTTTTGTGACTCATGTGGGATCATTTGGATTCTTCTTGTTGCTGGTTGACAAAATGCTATTTTTGATGATCCCTGGGCTTTGTTCCAGCCTCCACCTAGGGTCACTTGCCCATCTTGTTAGGAGCTTCACTATCAGCTCAGGTGTGTTTCTAATGTCTCTTCTGCACGTGATCCAGGAAAAAGAAGGCTGAGTGTTCCAGCAGAGAAGCTTCAGGTTGGACTTAAGGAAGAACTTCCAGACATTGGATAAGGTGAGTAAACAAGAAAGTGAACTTTGTACTGGGAGGGAGGGCAAGGGTCTTTCAAAACAGGAGTGAACCCCTCATCTATTGAGGACAGTGATTTATAAGTATGTTTGGATTGACCCCTGGGACACTCGGAGCCGTGGGGATAAGAGCCGTACTTATGAGCCCCTTCTAGGCTCCTTTCCAGGCTCCAGAGGTTAATGTTTCCATTTAAATGGAAATTGAGTGCAAAATTATTAGCAACTGTTCAAAAAGAACCAAATTACAAGAGGCTGTTCTTTGTACAGTACAAACAGAGCTGCTGCTGCTGTTCTGCACCTTAAATACAAAGGTGGGTCCTGCTGAAGGTGACTCCTCCACCCTCAGAGGAGCTGAACCCCTGGAAATGGTTCATTTGGAACACAGACTGGGAAGCCAGAAAGCTCCCCTCTGGCCTTGGATCCTAGTAAGCCCCAAAGGAGGGTCAGATGCAGAAGTTCCAAGAACATCTGCAGAATACAGGTCACATCGGTTCTCACCTCCCCAGCGTCGCCTGGCACATAAAATCAATCCTCATTACTCACCAATTCCATATTTGCAAATTCACCTCCTCGCTTACATTTATGTATAAACCCAAAATCAATGTCCGAAGACTTTTTGCGGTCATTTGCAAGCATGCACAGAGCAGTGACAATTTTGAGAAGCCTGACGTGCACATTCCCAGCTGAGATGGAGCAAGGGGATGTCTGCCTTCTCGTTTCAGCTCTCATACTGTAAACAAATATCCTTTTTAATTTTTGAGACAGGGTCTGGTTCTGTCATCCAGGCTAGAGTGCAGTGGTGGCACAATCATGGCTCACTGCAGCCTTGACCTCCTGAGCTAAAGCCATCCTCCCACCTCAGCATCCTGAATAACTAGGACTACGGGCATTCACCACTACACCTTGCTAATTGTTTGGTTTTTTGTAGAAACAAAGTCTCATCGTGTTGCCCAGTCTGGTCCCAAAGTCCAGGGCTCAAGCAATCCACCCACCTCAGCTCTCCAAAGTGCTGGGGTTACAGACGTGAGCCACCACACTCACCTAACAAGTATCTTTTTCATGGTCTATTTAGTACCAATTTTTTGTTGTTGTTGTTGTTGTTGATTCTACTATGTAAAATGGCCACCAAGTGTAATGCTAAGGCACTTTCTAGAATTCCTATGTGCAAGAAGGCTATGAAGTGCCTTAGGGAGAATATATGTGTGTTAGGTAAACTTCACTCAGGCGTGAGTTCTAGTGCTATTGGTCATGAGTTCAATGTTAATGAACCAACAATGTATATCAAATAAGGTGACTTTAAACAGAAACACACACAAGACAAGGTTATGTATGGATCGGTTGAGGAACATGTGACCAGAGGCTCACAGGTCTGCACTTCCCCTAGAAGCAATGGTTCATTATTGGCTAATTCAACATTAGCGGAAACATTACAGAATACAACTCCTACAAATAACAAGAATCGACTGTTGTAGGTGTTCAGTGAATGATAACTATGACTTCTTCACAGGGTTATCTCTGAGTTCGAATGTGGAGGTACTGTTTCAACCCCTTGCCAGCAAGTTTAAAGGATCTTCTCATCCAAAAAAATGCCTTCTTCTACAGCCCAATTTTTCCCATGCTCAGATCTGCACATCCCAGTATAAAGTATAAGGCCCAACAGGACCAAGAAGGGGTTATTTCTAGAAGGTTCCATGATTTATAGCCATGGTGGAGTCTTCTCATCTGAAATAACAGAGGCTTCCCAAAACCCAAAGAGTAGTCAGAGCATAAAACTTCAAGAATCCAGAGCTTTAAAAACTCAGGAAGAGTAGGGTCACCCAAATAAAAAAGGATGGGAGTTGGCAAAGTCTAGCTCTCAATGAGCCAGGAGCCAAGACCCAGCCTGGGACAGTGAGGCCAAGAACAGGCGAGGAGACCACCAACAGCAAGGGCTTGGGGAGAGGACCGAGAAACTGGCTGGTGTTGGGGCTTGCATTTATGAGCCCTTTGTGGAGGCAGTGGGAGAGGGGAAGCCCCCCGAAATGATGTAGAACAAAAGTTGGCCTTCTCAATAAATGCAATGTATTCATATAAATGCCATCAGAGAAGGTGGCCAAGGCAATTGAGTTTGGGGGACTCTCTCCAAGGTCCTAACTCGTGATTTTTATCAGTTTGTAATGGAACTCTGGTAGAATCTGGAATGACAAGCTGCCTCTCTATTCCCTGGTTTCTATTCCTGCTTCTGCTTCCACTTCCCTCTTCCCTTCCTCCCTTCCCCTCTTTCACCTCCTTTCCCCTTCTTTTCTCTCTCCCCTTGTTTCTCTGTCTGCAGGAATTGAAATGTACAACCACGGGTCACTCAGCAGGCTGGCTGACTGGCTACCATCACCAGTCTTCTTTCCCTCCATCACAGGTCATGAGGCTGCAGTTGCCTTGTAAAAATTCTGGTGCTACCCTCCACCGTACAGGGAGATTTTCCTGGCTCCACCTTTTTCCATTTTGAAATGTTTTTTGCTTTCATGTCATTTCCCATTTCTATCCAGTGGCCTCATGTCTGGATTTACTGTCTCTTCCCAGTCCCTTTGGCTTAATGGCTCAACCGGGGGATCTGGCCTCTGATTTTTGTTTCTTTTGAGTTATGTCTTCCCAGATCACCTTCATTTCTACCCTGCCTGGATCACAGTGGAAGCATCAGGAGGGTGTGTGATGGCCTCGAGGAAGTCCAAATGCAAAGATGCTCCTCCTACTCAACCCTTGCAAGGCTGGTTGGACACACATAAAATCAGGAATTGGTGTTAGGGTGAGAAAGGTTTATCAAACTCACATTTTAAGCTCTGAGTTAATGTTGTTTTAAGCTGACTCAGTCATTAGATTCATACAGCATGGGCTGGGGCGAGGGGCAAGGGGCAAAAGAGAGAGGAAGGAAACCAAGTAAGGAGGGCTGAGAAACAGTTTGGGATTTGGAAGCTGTGGGAAGTGAGACAATTAGGGAGGAAAAGGGGGGATTTTTGAGAAGTGGTATGTGGGTGAAATGGATTCTTCTTAGCATTCTTTAAGAGATCTCAATAAAGATTTAAATTATTTGTTGATTGGCTTGCTCTTCTCCAAATGCAACTCTATATGGAAACTAAGAAACATGGAGCCACAGCTTTTTTCAGTTTATATCAAGACAGCCTAAGCTCCTCACCGTGGCTGACCAGATCTTGCAGACACACCTCTCACCATTGTTACCACTGAGAGTTCACATTCAGCTAGACTGGGCTATTTTGGATCCTTTAATAGGTCAGGTTTTTACTCCCTCTGTCTGAAACTACCTTCCTATTCCCTTGCTGCCTTTCTTAGTCAGTTCAAGCTGCTATGAGATAAGACCATAAACCAAGTGGCTTATAAACAGGAGAAAATTATTTCTCCAAGTTCTGGAGACTGGGAAGTCGATGATCAAGGTGCCAACAGGTTTGACTTCCCGGTTCATAC